ATATATATATATATATATATATATATATATATATATATATATATATATATAAGCAAATATGGGTATATAGATCCAACAGTATGAAGAAAAATATGGAAAAACAAAAATCCGAATATGCAAGTATGCTGTTTTAATGTTGTTTCAATGTCGACCTCGGGCGTTTCGGCCTAGTAGACCTTCTTCAGGACATAGTTATTAAAACATAATTAAAATTAGACGATATTCAAGTCAACATGAAAATACGATAGACATAAAGCTAATCAAAACAGAATAACTTAATTTTTTTAAGATCAGCGTTCCGTTTCGCAATACGATCACGTCGGCGTCACGTGGGCGATGTTGTGAAAACGTATTCCTAAAATAGAGTATATTTTAAATGAAAAAGAATTATTTTTTAATCTAAAATTTATAAGTACGTTTGTCCAGCATTAATCTTGCCAGAAAAGGGGAAATATTAAAGAAGCCGGGTCTAGTATTCACCGTGCGTGAGATAGATATTATGCCTGCCTCATAAATCCGTCTAAAATTTTTATTATGAATATATTTTAAAATCTTCACAGAATCAAAATCGAAATTTCAGTTATGGGGCGCCTCGGCGTGGTGTAATGGTTAGCAAGCTTGAAGTCTCACTAGAACAATTATAACTGAGTAGTGAGTTCGATCCTCACTGGGTGCTCCATACTTCTGGCCTTGTGCCACATCTAAGCAGCGCTGAGAAAATCTATGGGCACCTCGAGGCGGTGTAATGGTTAGCAAGCTTGTCTCGCTAGAACAATTACGACTGAGTAGTGAGTTCGATCCTCACTTTCGGCCTTGTGCCACATCCGAGCTACGCTTGGAAAATCGCTATAATCCAACTCTCTTCCTCTTGAAGAACAGTTTTTCGCTATCGAGTTTCCTCTACACTCTCTGAAGTGCCCCTTGCTACCGCGAACAGGATTTCTTCAATGAGATAGATATCACAGTTAAGAGATGTGAGGAGGTAATTTGCAACGTCAATTTCGATGACACAGGCTAGAAGCAGGCAAAGCTCCCTTTGAGTTTCGAAGGCCTGGACCTTCGATCAGGTAGATTTGGCCCTTCCAGCATATCTTTCTTCACTTTTGTCCAGTCACGAATTAATTGATGAGATATTCGGTGGATCGTCTCAGTGTTTCTCGGGTAGTTTTTTGGAACAAGCTTGCAGCGTCTGGGCCCAATAATTACTTTCTTTCCCACTAAACACATCAAAACAAAAAAGCTGGGATAAAATAAAATGCGAGGTCAATTTTACTAATTTGAGGCTCTCTCTGGATCAGCATCGCCTCACCTGTGTACTATCTGCTTCACAACCAAGTAGTGGCGCCTGGCTCAACGCAGTGCCCTCTTCATCTACCGGTACCCTTCTAGATGATGAGTGCACTCGGCTCGGAGTCGCGATCCGTCTTGGACTCAAATTACGTGAGCGTCACAGATGCAGATGTGGCGCTTTCATCGATGAGTTTGGTTTGCATCCTCTCTCCTGTCGTCGTAGTGCTGACCGCTTTCCACGACATGCAGCCATTAACGAAATCATCAAAAGAGGTTTGGATACAGCTGGGTTCCCTTCTCAAATCGAACCCGTAGGCCTCGACCGCGGTGATGGAAAGCGGACGGATGGCATTACCATTTTCCCTTTTAAAATGGGGAAGTCGTTGATTTGGGATGCGACCTGTGCGGATACATTTTCGGCCGGTAATTTGATCAGGTCCACGATTGCGTCGGGATCCGTCGCCCGGGACGCAGAGATGAAAACAATACTTAAATATCATTCTCTTGCTGATAGATTTTTTTTTTTTTTACTCATTTGTCAATGGAGACTCTAGGGGTTATTGGCCCTCGTTCGATGGTGTTCCTTCGGAGGATTAGCGCGATTGCGTCTCAATTAAGGGACTAGCCACGCGAAACGGAGTGGTTCTTGCAGCGTGTCTCACTGGTGATGGTTCAAGGTAATGTTTTCTCAATCACTGCGGCTGGCAGAGGATAGAAAAAAATTGTTTATAGTTACGTTGTTCTGGAATTGTCATCAGTGGTCAACTGAACTTGTTTTGTTATACATTAATATCAATATGTCGTATATGTCAAATAGTCAATAATTTATAACTCTATCAGGATTATATATCCAAATTTATAACTGTCTCTCTATATAAATATACATATCTATATTTGTATCGTTTCTCTTAAAATACGGGAAACCGGATTAATTTAATCTTTGTTATTAACTCTTTTTTATTAATTTAATCTTTTTTAATATATATTTTCCTTTATTAAGCATTAGGTTAAACACCCGTTTACCTCCTTTTAACCCGGCTAGCGTTAGTGTATCATACTTATAAAACCCAGGTTGTGTGTGTGTCTATACGTTTATATATTGGTTCGGATTTCCTACATTTTTCAACCGATTTCAACTAAACTTCACAGGACTACGTAAAATTACCTTGCGGTGGTTCTGACAGCGCCCAAAATTGGAAAATTGTTTTTGCACGAAATCAATTTGAAAACTCGATTAGCAGGCATCGCTGTTGCGAGAATGAAAGGGGGACAACTCATATCGAGTTATACTTATTATAAAACCCAGGTTGTTTGCGCGCGCGCGCGTGTGTTCGTTTATATATTATATATGGGATCGGATTTCCTACATATTTCCACCATTTCAACAAAACTTCACTATTTTTGGCAGGTAGTGTTTCTTATTGTCTTGCACACTTTTTTCTTTATTTTTACATCCAGAATGCTTTAAAAATTCCATTTACAAGACAATTGTTTATAATAAAATTCTATTCAATCGGTAGACTCATAACGATAGAAAACAATGTTTTTGTTTGAGTTTGGGTTTGATCAATTCGTAAAAAAGAAAACAAAAGAAACAAAAAACAAAAAAAACTAATTAAGACATGCGTGACTGTCAACCTTAAGCTATAATCTTTCTCAATTTTATTTTTCAGTCTTTATGATTGTCGATACTTGATCTATCTCTTAGTGTTACATTCCCGGGCAACGCCGTGCTCTACTGTTAGTCTTGAATAGGCCACCGTCTCCAGTATTAATTTTAAATTTCTCTTTATTTATTCTTTTAAAAATGAACACTACCTACAATTCATTTCCTGCATCTTTTGTTCTATTTAATTTATTTTATTTTTCGTCTATGAAGCATCGTTCTTCCCATGTGCTATTTGTGTATTCCTATATGCATATTTTTAATATCTATCTATCTATCTATCTATCTATCTATCTATCTATCTATCTATCATATATATATATATATATATATATATATATATATATATATATATATATATATATATACACTCTAGAAGTTTTGAGAATTTTTCAAGAAAGTCATTTATTTTTAGGAAATAAAGAAATTTAATTTATAAATATGTTTATGGCAAATCTTCTGATGAGATTTCTGACTGGCGCCTCGACTGCATGAATTTAAGCGTGCAATTTGATTGTCAACTGCGTCGCAACGTTTTGCTGTCGAAATAGATAATTGCAACCGTATGTTTTATTTTAATGTTTGTTTTTCTTGGACCTCTGGCCTGTAGAAATCTCTTCTGATTTGCTTCCCTGCCTCTTACAATCACCATCTTCTCTCTTCCTGAACCTATCATTTTATTGTTCTTTTTCCTCCATAGTCTACTCATTTCATTTCACTCCCCGTCACCTCTTTCATTCTAGTGGCATTTTTGCCTTGTTGGGGGTGAGATGATTAAAAAAGCCTTTCAAATCAGAAACCCCCTGAATTAAATGTTATAGCTGTGTAATCACTTCTAGAAGGCGCCCTTTTTAATCGTACAGCGTTTAGGTGTCCAGATAGTCCAAATCATACTCTTCTACTCTACATCCTAAAATGCTAATCCAAGAGCAGTTTTGCTCATTTCATTGGATTCTGTGGATTGTTTTGCCGAGGCTAACACAGAACTTATCAGAAATCTGTGAAATTATGACATCTAACACTTTGAAGACGTGAAGCAGATGAAAGAGTCTGTGACCCGAAACGTAGGCACCTGCATTTTGGAGGGCTGCTGGGAGCATTCGAGAAGTGGCTAGTATCTATCTAATTTTTTTCTGATATGTCCCGAAAAGGGGTATATTTGTTCGAAGTAGCAAAGTGGTTTTGGACTACTGTAACCGAGTAGGACAATCTAGCAGGTAACTGTAATAGACAGGTCCTCGAAGGCATAGACCAATAGGCGTCGTCCTGTACCTCCACATCAGTCTGTATTTATGGCTGACACCAGCCAATCATATTACTGTGAGGGGGAATCCAGGTGTATGCATATTCATTATATACTTTTCATGTCTAATTCTTTTCATATCTATCTATCTATCTATCTATCTATCTATCTATCTATCTATCTATCTATCTATGTTTTATATCTGTTTAATTCTTATATCTATATATTTGTCTATCTCAGTCTTTTTATATCTGTCTAATTCTCCTATCTATCTATCTATCTATCTATCTATCTATCTATCTATCTATCTATCTATCTATCTATCGCGTTAACTTGCTAACGCTATATAATTCCCAGTGCCTTTAAACAAACAAATAAAGAAGCAGACAACGCATTTGTATTAAGGGCTCGTTGTATTTAAATGGTAAAGGGAATTTTAATAGCATTGATGTCAGAAAACTCTCTGATCTAATCTGATTTGAATCCGAACCTGTTTCCTCAGTGTAAAATGTTCGAGTCGCATCTTTTCAATAACTCGTTACCGCTGACCGCTGGAAATGCCCGGCATAAAAAGAGAAATCCGTCATATCGATATCGATAGCAATTAAACTCTAGTTGGACAGTTTCCTTGCCGCAAATAATGTAGCCTTTGATGTCATGTAGCTAGAGAATGACCAAGAGAAAGCTCGTGCGAGACTCGTGAAAACAGATAGAAACAGAAAGACTTCACAGGGAAAGAGAGACAGACAGACGCACTGAAGACTAATTGTGAAAACTAAAAGGAAGAGATTAAAGGAGGAATTAAAAAGAAGTAATAATCAAGGTTCGAAATGAGGGGATGGTCTTACAAAACGAGAAAGAGAATGAGGGAAAATAAATGATACAGAGAGAGGGAGAGAGAGAGAGGGGGGAAGAGTTTGTGATAAATAGCAAGAAGCAGAAAAATATGAGGGATAAAAACGAGAGAGGAAGAGAGAGAGAGAGAGAAAGGAAGAAAGAAAGAGAGAGAGAGAGAGGAGGAGTATTTAATGGGAAAGCGAAGGAGGGAGAAAGACAGATGAACGGGGGAGGAAGCGAAGAGAGGGAGAGAGAGAAAGAATGAGAGAATAAATGAGAGAGATGGATGAAAAGATTGGCAGCACCGAAAGAAGAGAGAGAAAAATAGAGGGATAAAAAAAAGGAAAAGGAAAGGGGAACTGAAATTCAGAGAGAAACATCGAAAAGCAGAAAGAAATACAGAGGTCGAGAGAAAGAGAGAGGATGAGAATATAAAAGAAAGAAAGAAAGAAAGAAAGAAAGAAAGAAAGAAAGAAAGAAAATGTATTTGTAAAAAAAAATATTTGAACAAATACCCAACCCCGCATACAGTAAAGTATTTTCCACGGGGTACTTTGAGTTTTATGCATTTTGAATACTTTATATAGAGAGAAACACAGACAAAGAGAGAAAAAACTAGAGAGAAAGAGAGAGTAGGAAAATATAGGAGAAATGTATAAAGAAAGAAAGAAAGAAAGAAAGAAAGAAAGAAAGAAAAAAGAAACTGTAATCGTAATAATAATAATAATAATAATAATAATAAAAATTAGCCCCGCCCCTCGCACAGAGTTAAGCATTTTCCATGGGATACTTTGAGTTTTATGTATTTTGAATACTTTATGTACGTCGGACATAACTCGATTTTTATTTGTGCGCTCACTTGAAAGTAAAATGACTCAAGGCTGTATGGGAGGCGCATGTGTACAGAAGACTAAAGATCAAAAAATAGTTCATCCCCATTGGCATTCCCCCTTTTGGGGTCGCCCCTGGCACGAGAGATTAACCCTCAACACTTCCCGAGATACACATACTACACACACACACACACGCATAAATATATATATATGTATATATATATATATATATATATATATATATATAAATTAGGAGATCAGCCAATTCTGCTACTTTTTAATACTACTCTTTCCTGATGCAATTCAACACTGACCATTAATATTTTATTTATATATATATATATATATATATATAAAATAAAGTTTTTCGTGGTACAGAATTTAATAATAGATGGGAAAAGACAATATTTATAAGGCATTTTTTAAAAGCAAAAGCTAAAATAAAAACAACCAGGACTTATCAAATTTATTTATTGTTGGAATTTAAAAAAGCGTGTAAATTAATTTTAGATTAACAAATGGAATGGAATGGTGGAAAAAAAGATTATGAATTTCAAGAAACTAGAGTCCAATAATATTCAGACCTAGCAAGCATTCCTTCTGTTTACAAAGAGAAGGCTCACGGGATCTGATATACAAGGACTCTAGAACCTTGAGGTGAAATGCGGAGTAGGACCTAGATAAAATTATAAATCGGTCACCACTAATATATATACATATATATATATATATATATATATATATTCTGTTTATACGCTATTTTTATAGATACAAATATTTAAATAAATGGTCTGTTAATAATAAACACTATTAACAATATTTACCGGTCTGAATGCCCTGGAAATTTCATAGAAAATATGTGTCCTACGACAGAAATCGAACCTGTATCCCACACGGAACATCATATAGCCTGACGTGCTATACCGATTTTCAACAGAGGAAGCGTCTGGTTATTAATGTCGAATTAATGTTTTTAAACTACAAATTTCCCATGATTTCTCTCGAACGCTCATATTTGCTCGAAGCGTATATTAACGTAAAAACATTATATCATGTGCTATGAAATGCACTATGCCGGACATTTATTTTAATATATTTTCTGTTTATACCTTTATTTTATAAACTGAAAATACTAAAATAATTGTCGGACTTAGTCCATTTCATATATATATATATATATATATATATATATATATATATATATATATATATGAAATATTCATATATGTATATGTGATTACGACAAACTCAAGTATTGCTGAAACCAACACAAGGCCTATCAATTGATCAAAGGAAATAATAATCAGAGCCTGTAAATCAAAACAAATATGGTAATATAACTGTCTATATTTCTGAGATGAGGTATTATGTACACTATTTACATTATTTGGACAATTGTCGTTATCTTTGTTGCCATATTTATCACAACGTTTCACGTGCCATGTCTAATGGATTGAAGGCAGGAGGGACAGAGGAAAACAACGCATCAGATATCGGAAGAGGGTTTAACTGAGAGAACAAAAAAAAAAAAAAGAAAAGAAATATTAAGAGCTACAAAATACATGAAATTGTGGAGAGCCATGTGCGCCTACGTCTTGAGTAAACAGAACACATAAAAAATAAGAACAACTTGGAAAATCACTTTTTCTCCATTTCGGAGACGAACATAAAAGTTAGCAGATACGGGCTTCGAGGAAGCAGAACAAGAGATGCGGATTTAGAAATTGTTTAAATGAATCATGCTTAATTATGGATGGATGGTGTGGGTATGTGTGGTGGTGTGGGAAGGCGTTGTAAATATACGCCGGGACTAATAGTGCTTTCTCATTAAAGCATGACGCAGGTTCGAAACCTGCCAGAAGGCACATTTTCTTTACTGAAACTCTCGAATGCAGTGAGAAATAGACCTATATATATATATATATATATATATATATATATATATATATATATGTGTGTGTGTGTGTGTGTGTGTACTGTTAAAAAAAAAAAGTCTTGTCTATGCAAACATGTGTATTCACTAAATATAACGTTTCAGGAGCAACTAATTGCACCCAAACGAAGTTGCGTCTTTGTATTGATTAAAAATATATATATATATATATATATATATATATATATATATATATATATATATATATATAAATAAAAAAAAAGAACAGTAAGATATAAAATCCGGTGTTCTTATAGATATTTTTATTTTTACAAAATAGTGTTCAATGTAAATTTACAGAGCATTAATAAATTAAATTCGGGGTTTTTAGCTTCTATTTTTGAAACATGGTTGGAACTGTCTAGCGAAAAAAAAACATATTTTACATCAATTAATTTATAATATATATATATATATATATATATATATATATATATATATAGTGAACTCTCCCGACGTATGAGGGTCAAGCAGCTCAGTTCCTAGGAACCGACAGCCAGACAACAGCACATATGATTTGATTATAATGGTTAAGGCTTTGTGTAGAACCAACCACACTTTTTGAAGTGGCGAATGTAGAGATCTGTTGCAGAACGTACCACAAGTACCCCAAAACCATCCGCTTACTCAATCCGAACAACTATCCACTACTCCAATATATAAATATATATATATATATATATATATATATATATATATATATATATATATATTGGATATATTTTGGCACCATGTATTTATTGCAACATATTTCATTGAATAATTTAGACAAGTTTTGTCTACTTATACGGTAATTTTCTCTCTTCATTAAATAATGACACCAAAAAGCTTGTCCGTGAATTTGAAAGTATTCAATTGAAAATAAGTAGACAAAACTTGTCTAAATTATTCAAAAACTGTCCCTATCTCTCTCTCTCTCTCTCTCTCTCTCTATATATATATATATATATATATATATATATATATATATATATATATATATATGAACTTGTTTTTTATTGTACTGGTCTTCAGAAATTTTAAACAACCTAGTTAAATATAAATATGGACTTAAATCGATAAAAGATTCTTTAACTTAATATAATTTTTGATACAACTACTAAAAGTTTAAGAGATTTAATTTATTAAAAAAATTAATAGGAGCTTAAAACATGCAAACATTTATAAAATAGAATGTAAAAACGTCCCAAGATATACATTGTTAAAACATCTACGAGTTTACATAAAAGATTAAACGAACACTCAAAGTATATTTTAAAAAAAATACCCTCAGTGCGTTAATCGTTCATCGTAATAGGTTTGTCCATAATATCCGCTTAAAAAACACATTTTTAATTAAAAGAGAAAATTATTTATTAAGGCGAAAATATATTGGAAATTTACTAATTTAAAAGTTTTCACGGTATATTTGTGTCTACAATCTACTTACCGAAAAAAACACACACACACACATATATATATATATATATATATATATATATATATATATATATATATATATATATATATATATATATGAGTGTATAGTTTTGTCCAGAAAGAAGATATATGTTGTATGATCTGTTACGTAAATTTACAGTGAAAAAAGTTTGAAATTAGGAGATTTCAAATATATTTTAGCTTAATGAATAACTTTCTCTTTTAATTAAAACTGCATCTTTTAAGTAGAAATTATGGACAGACCTATTACAATAAACGACTAATATATACACACACGCGTATATGGTAACTTCTAGCCTGTTGCCCTGGATAGAAATAACTGTAGATATTTGTATCAGAGTGTCGTATCAGAAATTTCGAAATCAGTCATACTGACCGGCTAAGAGACGAAAGACAACGGCGAAAAGCGTTAGTAAATATTCCTGTTGCTATGTCCAGAGATCTTCGCTGTTGCACAATATGCAGACACATATACGACTGAAACATAAATACTGAATGAGCATGTCAGATCCTCTTACGTAGAAATCGATGGGCGAGTCCATATATATATATATATATATATATATATATATATATATATATATATATATATATATATATATATATATATATAACTTAATACAAAATTTGATACAACTACTTCTAAAAGTTTAAGAGATTTAATTTATTGCTTAAAACAGCAAGAATTTATAAAATAGAATGTAAAAAACGTACCAAGATATACATCTAACAATTTAGATAATATATATATATATATATATATATATATATATATATATATATATATATATATATATATATATATACATACATAGATTATCTCAATTATATATATATATATATATATATATTATCTAAATTGTTAGATGTATATCTTGGTACGTTTTTTACATTCTATTTTATAAATATATATATTATCCAAAGTATATATATATATATATATATATATATATATATATATATATATATATATATATATATATATATATATATATATATATATATATATATACATACCGGATGTAACAGCCTAATTATCTATCCACCAAAATGTATAATATCTAAACGCCACTAAACTGAGTTTCTTTTTTCCACATTTTCAGATAAGATGTTTAGTTATCTTGATAACAACTGTCGTAAGAATCACTGTCAAACCCTTGTTATTCAGCTAGAATGAGAACATGTTAAAATCGTTTTGTGTCAGACACACTGTCTTTCCAACTAAGCAATGGTGAAAGGAAAAATTTCCTTTAGGCCTTCAGTAATGTTACCAACATTCATAATTTGGCTTCCATCTTCAAAGTTCTTTCTAGAACCATCA